CTTTATAACAACCATTTATGTATTTGAAGATTCCTGGCAAATCTCTCCTCAGTCTTCTGTTCTCCAAATTAAATATTTCCAGTTCTTCCAACTGTTCCCTCCAAGTCATTTTGGTTGCTTTCTGTTTGTCGCTTTCTACAAGACCAGTGCCCAAATTTGGATATGGTGCTCTAGTTGAGGCTCCCATTCAGCTTGGAGTCTGCCACAATCCCCCTAACCTTTTATGCAATACTGGAGCCTAGTTAGTCAAAGATCAATTCTAAATGCAATCAAGGGAGAGACACTGAATTGTGTAGCACTATACCCAGTGACATGTAGGAAGTCTACTGCAAAAGTTACAAAAAATAATAATTAATCACTTCATAATAACAAGTGCTGTTCACCAGTACAGACACCAAGCCAACAGATTTTACACAGGGAAAAGGCTGTATACATTGAGTATAATCCTATAACAGGCAGCTCTCCCCCTCCTAAGATATCAATACCATATGAACACTCAGATAAACACTCCCCACACATACTCTTGCTGACCATGGACCAGCTTTCACTCTGAACTGAAAATAAATTAAGGGAGGGCGTGAACTTAAAACAAACCGGATGCATCTACACGAGACATTTACAGTGGAGTTGCCTAATTGACTCCGCAGTAAAGTCTGTGTCTTCACGTGCTGCCCTATTAGGCTGCAGGAAACTAATAAATGCCATGGTAGATTAGTACCTGTAAACACAAGTACTATCCTGTGGCAGCATTTAGTGCGCTGCAGCATACACGCAGATGCTGATAGGGCTACCTGGGGCCCAAGGGCGCTTCAAAGCAGAGGCTGCCTGATGGCTAGCCCCACACTGGAATGCCTTTGTGCCCCTGCCAGCCCTTCTGCAGCATGATGAGCTGGATCGGAGCAATCCCAGGCTGGCAGGCTGACCCCCAGGACCAACTGCTGGAACTGCTCCCACCTGGTTCAATATGCTGCAGTCCTGGGTGCACGTGAAGATGCTGAGCCCAGGAGCAATAAATTCTGGTGCAAAGCATACCAGAACTTATTCAGGCGCCTTAATATCCACATGTAGATGCACCCACTGTGGTTCTGAATAATACCAAGTGTGAACACTTATTCTGAAGGAGTACCTTGTTCTCCTTCACATTGAGAGAAATATTCAGAACTATACCTGAAAACCTAGGCACAAACCAACCTTAATTTGGCACGTCTGCACTTCCCCAATACTATTTTCCCCTGTCTGGTGTTAGAGAATTTAAGATGAGAGGGTAATAGAAACATGTCACTGAGTATCTCATAACCCAAGACATTTGGTCTAATGCTTTACAGATGGAGAGAATGGCACCTGGAAGTAGAATTAAAGGGATTAAGGAAGAGGGCAAGAAGAGAAGCAGCAACCAATATTTCTGCTAATGCTGTGAATCTTTTTGGATTAGCTGGCAACTAACATTGTGATATTTCTGAAACTAGGAACAAAACACTTAAAAATATCAGGATCTCACAGAATTGCATTGAAGTATGCAGCAATTTAAGTGCTGAAAGAATCAATATGCACTGACTTCCAAATCACTGGGTTGCTGAGAGGCAGGAAGCATGTTAATCCTGATCATTTTGGACCAATGGGCACAGAGGAGGCTCAGATGGCATTAAGCCACTCTCTTGATTCTGGGCTGGCGAGACTGCGCAAATCAGCTGAACAGGCCTCCAAGGCTGAAAGTACCCATCTCCTATTTACTATGGGTAGAATCCCTGCAGCACTGTACACTGCAGCTCCACTTTGACTCCCAACACATTTCCTAACATTGAGAAAGGCACTGAACATGCTTAATGCTAAGGCTGCAACCAGGGGAATGCTCCCCAGTATGTCAAGGCCTATAGTGGAAGGAAGCTTGTTTGTCCACAAGGACTAAGAGTATCTAACCAACAAAAAGAAAGAGAATGTCTCCCATAAGCTTATTCCACTAAAAGAGACTGGAGGAACAATCTAACTCAGGGGCTAGCAAAATATGACCCATGGGCCACATCCAGCCCACCAAGCAATTTCATCTAGCACGCGGGCATCCACCAACTAATTGTACCCTGCCCAGCCTGAGCACCTCACTTCCACCCTTGTAGGTGGAAGGGCCCGGCTTCTGGGAGGGGTTGCTGTTGCCACTGCTGCAACCAACAGAAGACCTGCTCAGCTTTCCCACCATCCCACTCACTCCAGGTACCAGGTAGGGAAGCAGAGGGGGCAGAGGGGAACTGCAGCTGGCCGGGAGGCACAGAGCATGGGGCTGGCAGCAGCATGGAGCCTGCACCCAGGAGGGCAGCGGGAGTGCGGAGCTTGGGTGGGCAGGGTGTGGGTGTGAGGAAGGTGTGGGGGTGGGGACTGCGGTGAAGCCCTGAGACCTGCATGGCAGTGGGCAGGGAAGGCTGCCGGCTCCACTGCATGGGGCATCCCCTGGTGGCACGTCAGTGCCAGGAGCTGCATGTGCACCACGTGGAGCCCCACACGATAGAGGCAGGCCAGCCTGGCTGCACTCCTTGCCACCATGTGCAGCACTGGCCAGAGCCACACGCTGATGGACAGCAGTGCCCAAGCAGGCCATGAGAGCCCCGAGTGCCTGCCACCTGCTGCTGCCGCCACCAGCTGCAGCAGAGGCTGTGCACCATGAGGGGGGAGTGTGTACGGGACTCTGACACCCCCCACCATCCCTTACACCCTACAAAAGCCACCCACACCCTACCCCAACCCCCCAGATACGCACACTTCCAACATACCCTATTGCCACCCCAAACAGCCACACCCCCTCACAAACCCCTTCCAACCCACCACACATGCACACCCACCCCCAACCACACCCCACACACAATATACAAGAGTAAGACTTTATTTTTGAGTTATTGTGCAATCACCTCTATATACACTAGGCAAACACAGACCATGACAAAAAAATGTTTGTAATAAAATTAAAATATATTATAGGTGTTTGACTTTTAGTGTATGATTTGGTTTTTTCTGGTTCCAAGATGGCGACCCCCAAATCCCAAAAGGAGTACCTCCAGAAGGCAAGGGGAGGGACTTCCGATGGCAAAGGCCAGCGGTTAGGGATGGGTCTTCCAATCCCAAAATTGCTACCAGGGGCTGGAGCACTCACCAAGGGGCGAGGCTAACCTTGCTGCCCTCGACAGCTCACCAAAACTCGTTAAGCAGCCCTCCCGCTGAAATAATTGCCTGCCTCCAATCTAACTGATGAGAAAAGGGCTGTCTTAGGACAACATTAAATGAACCTCTAGATGCTGCTAAATTCAGGCCATCACTCAAAGTACCAATGTCATCTGGGGGACGAGCAGGAGGGTAGGGGGGTCATCATTACATGCTGAAGACAGAAGAAATCATGAAGGGGCCAGCATGAGCAATAAAGGAGCTCAAGAGAAGACTGATTACATCATAAGCCACAAAAATCAAAAGTCAATCTAAGGACAACTGTTATAATGGAGTGCCATAGGAGGGAGGGAATAAGCTTAGGTTACCGACTTGGCACTCATGGAAGACGGTCTAGTTCCAAGCAGCTAGCATCTCACTTGGTGGTGGCAACCATCGATCCTCCTGGATCATGGTGTATGCATGAGGGCCACCCAGACCTTTGATGCATATGCCTGAGCAGGAATATTTTTGGAGGAGTGGAAACTGCCTAGACCTTTCATCCTCCCCTTTAGGCCACTGAGACAGAATCCAAAGACCAGACTCAGTCCAGATGTTTGGTGCCTCCATGGCTGTAGTTGTATAAGTGTCTGGGAATTGAACCCAGGTCTCCTGTGTGGTAGACAAGGATTCTACTACTGAACCACAGGGAAAACCCCAGCCTATAGCTCCCACTCCTTCCCTTCCTGCCGACAGCACTGGGGCCAGGCCTGGGCCAACACAGCCCAGCCCCAACTGTGCTGACAGACTGACCCTAGGGAACAGATGTTCCCTAAGGCACTCCACTTTGGAGCACTTTCATCTGATCTTTCATTAAATAAGGGTTAATTTGTCACATGACCAGCCACTTTTAAAGTGCTCTGCAGCTGTGCACATTGCCGATTGCGCAACAAATGTTACTTCTGTCAGAGCCCCTAGTGACACTCATACATAACAGGACTCTTCTCATATCAGAATAAAGACAAGTCAGTAGACTAGTAATCACATGTGTAACATGCAAGCATTGTGGTATTAATATCATAATGCCACAGCTGTTGCTTTTAACAAACATAGACAAAAAAAGTCTATCCCCAAAAAGGGCACAACCAAAGCAAGAAATGCCAAGAAATGGAGCTGGATGGAGTGTGACCATGAGAGAAGCCAGATGTGCAGCAGGATCACAAAGATGTAGCAGTACTTTGTTCATATCCCCAAGCTTCTGCCTACAGCCACAAAAGCTAGAATTTATATTTCCCCTTTTTAAACATACAGCAGTAGAGCATTTAGTTGACATCTGAAGTCTTTGCCCATCAACACTGTCACAGGTAAATAGAAATGACAAGTGGAATTTAATACAGGGCAATATACAAACTATTATCAAACTGCAAATGTTTCAAGGTTTTTAGTTTGGGGTTTGGAAGGAAGACTTAAAACTAATTAAAAACCAAGGCCCATATCTCAAATTAATTAAAATATTTTCTGGAAAATCTTTGAAAAAAAAAATCAGCTTTATTCTCAGATTACAGCAAAAGACATAAGCAGACATTTTGCTAGGTCTGTGTAATGTAAATTAGGGGAAAATACTATATACCACTTCATATCAGAGACTAAATCCCACCTGTAAAAAGAGGACTCCCATCAAAACAGCCTTAAATATTCAAGTAACACCTCATCACTAAAATCTTAGTATTATACCTCCACACACAAACATATTTATGCAGTTTTATATATTTATACCTCCTATACCCCCAAAAAGTATTTCCAGAAATTAACTTCTTCCTTTTAAAGCTTGCATATAAAGAAATAGAAACTAAAGTAAAAAAATAGAAAAAGATTACCCGTCTTGGGCAATAGGAAGCATTAAACTCATCTCCAATCCGCCGTAATTCCTGTGCAATCCATATTTCTGGCTGCATATCTTCAGGTATTGATCGATACTGCCACCTGGAAGCTGCATCAGAACAGAAACAAAGAAACTTTGAAAATTTCCCAAAAGTGCTTCTTGCAATTAAAATACAACAGAAAAAAAATTATGCAAGATTTATCTTGTCAAAAGTTGCCGGAGCTACCTAGAACACGTGCTACTGGCAGCTGCATTCTACACCAAGGAAAAGTCATTTACCTGTAATGGTACTTGTTAGAAGCCAAAATCCAAGGACAGTGCTTTGTAGACCTGTGGAGAGATCCAAAAAGCATCTCCATGGTGCTGTGTTGGGCATATCGGAGGTACATAGTGGTGCCATTTTTCTTAAATCAAATTAGTTTTGTCATGATCTTTTTGTTAATGATATGGCTGTCAGAAACTAGAAGTCAGACGCACATTTAAATATGATCCTTCCAATAACTGTATTGCTAGGTTTGTTGGTGTGAAAAGCTGCAAGAACTGAGTGTATTGCTTCAGGGCTATAAGTTACCCCAAAGGCCTCCAATACGAAGCATAAAGGCACGAATATAGTAGGCACTGATTGGCAGGACAACAGGATCACTGGGTCATCTCCAGCAAGTATGGAGCACTATCTTATCCTTTACCAGTGTGGTATAAATCGCATCAGTCAGAGTTCGAAGCTCACTCTCAACATGAGCTGAAATCACAACCAGCAGCAAGCTACTAACCCTTAGCTCAAGTTTACAGAAAGAAAATGCTGCAAAAAAGAACTTTTATCAGCTTTGTTAGGACCACACATTAGTATACTGGGGGCCTGAGAGGTTTCAAATGTCAAACACTGCAAGAGCCTAAAAACGGCCTGCTAAACTTTTAATTAGCTTATTTGGGTAACATCATCTCCTGACTAACTGCACATTGGTCTCCTTTTAGTCAGTTCATGACAGGCTGAAACAGCTGCAAAGTGTACCCAAAAGGCATTTTTACCCAAAAATCTGTATTTTATGAACTGACAGGTAAAGAAAGCAGGCAATTTTTATATGTGGAGGACTTGCACAAAAACACATATACAGATGAGGAATGAGTATCAACTTGAGCCACAAGTTTTTACCATGCAAAATTTCCAGTCTGCCCAATACACAGGCGGAAAGATGCCAGAACTAACTGAGGACACCTGCCTGCATAACCCCCCTGCTCCAGACTATACAGAAATGGCAAAGAAAACTCAGCCTTCCTGAAAAAGCAATCAAGATGTTCCTCCCTCCCTGCAACTGAAAATATACTTTTAATATATTTGTTTTTATACACTGTATCTAAAACAAATATTTTAAAGGTAGCCTGACATCTTGCACTCTTCCTGCTTCAAGCAACAGGCACCAGTTAAAGTCAGATTATTCCACTGGCCAAATCTGATCTTCCAATAGACATAGGCCACCCCATCATCTGAGAACAAGAGAGAGATCTGTCAGGAGCAGAAGTAGGCCTTGCAATATTTTAAGCAACTATGTTCAAAATAAGCTGTCACCCTCTCATTGCTAGGCTGTCCACAATGCCCAAAAGGAAGATAGGCTACAAATTTATAGCATCATTAAAGGGATCATAAGCCACTATGAATACACACAAAGAACAGATCTACCACACAAGATGCTGCTTTTTCAATTTCGTTCCTGAATGGAATATCAGTTACTAGCCATCTTGCAGGACTTTTTTTAATCCACTGAGACAACAGCAGTTTAAAAATGCAATAGTAGCTTTTAGATTTTGTGGTCAAAGAATACAGAGGCAGCCAACAAAAGAAAGTCTCACCTTTGCCAACTTAGAAATTAAACTGTGGTTTTGAGAGTTTAAAATGTATATCTAGGTAGGTAGCACTCATGGCAGAAGATTCTTCTTAGGTACATACTTTTAAATTTCTCCCTTGTAAATACGGATATCGCGTATTCAAATATAAAATAAATTACATCTAAAAAACTAGTGCTAGTTTGTGAAAAGAGCATTAACACAACTTTTATGTTTAAAAAATATATAACCAGCAACCTTATTCATTTTACAAAATAGCATAAAATGACCACCCAATTCTGAAACACTGTGGTGTAAGAAATGAACAATTTATGACACACACAAATCGGTGCAAGTCATATTCAGAAAGGGACTCATGCCAATTCCTCTTCCTACTTTAAACAAAGGCTTAGAAATTAAACAAGCATGACAACACTTTTTAAATAGAGTATTTCACAAAACTGGCATAAAAACTTAAAAGGAATCACAAGGGAATGCGAATAGCTTCCAATTTCAGAATATTCAATGGATTAGTAGAGCAGTGAAAAAATTGTGTGTTTGGCTCCAATCTGGCTGGAAAATTTATTTTTGAGCCAAAAATATCTGAGCCAAGCAAATGCTAGATATTTTGTTTTCATGCTGTAGTAGCAAAAGAACAGTACCAATCAGCCTTCATAAAAAAGGTTGCATCAGGCAGAATTTTATTTATTTTGTTAGATATTTAATTTCATTCAAGTTCCTCATGGTACTTGATAGAAATATTTTTAAACTAGGAAAACATTTTGTGATGATATGGGGGTGGGGGAAGAAGCCAACATACATAAGAACAACTGATCTAGACAAGCATCTCTCTCAGAAAGAGTTACAACTAAACTAATGCAGTTTCTCAATGCCAAAGAAAATCAGATTTTCAGCACTATGCTGAGACGTATACATCAGATATCCTCATGCTTTAAACAACTTTCAACCAACTACATAACTACCACATTAAACAGAGCCAAAATTAGAAAAGCAATTACTTTAATCCAACTGTTTTCAACCACTGAAGATAATATACAATGCCGTGTTCCAGCCGATCGCCAAAACTGTCTAAAAGATCGTTTTACACTGGCTTCAAATGATAAAAGCTCAGCAATACAAGAATTAATATCATGGTTAAAGTGGTTGAGAGTGAAATCAATCTGAGGTTTTCAAAAAGGACTTTCTGTGGTACTGCCAAATCACAAAATCAAAAGTGTCCAGTCATAATTAGCTGCAAAAACAGTCAAGAGAAACTTTCAAAATTCATTTATAGTTGCTAGCCACCAATAACTTTCACCACCATCTCACACACACCAGCAATACTAGTCATATCATGACACTTCATTTCTCTTTAAAGAATAAACCAAATGAATGCACCATTGCAGAGGATGGAGAATAAAGTAACTCAATGCCTCAAGAAACGGATGTCTCAGCATCCTATTAAAAAAAAAAAAAAGGGAAAACCCTCATGCCCATATTGTACGATTAGAATCCCATATTCAAGAGATTACCCATTAACAGTTGTGAAATGTTATGCAACCATACATTTACCTATGTAAAGGCTGGTATCAGAGCACTTATATTCTAGCAGCTTGTCTAGAGGGAAGATTTTTTCCAGTTTCACTGGGTTTTTGTTTTTTGGGGGGGGTTTGTTTTTTTGTTGTTTTTTTTTAAAGAAAAGCAGTCAAGTACAACTCATACATACTGATGCAACAGTTTTAGGAAAAATAGCTTTTTTACTTAGCTGAAGCTCTTTCAAAGGGCTACAAGATTAACCAAAAGAAGGCACTCGTATGTGTATGGTCTAAATATGGTTCAACAGTAGAGTACCAAATGTGCACCAAACATTTTGCTGGTATTGCTTTCCTGTGTATTCCTGTGGTCAGCAGTTGGCCCTTCCCAGAGCACTACTGAATTCTTTTACTGATGCATAATGCTAGCTTAGGACACAGATGGAAATTCTCTTTTCCCAATACACCTAAGGCCCACTGACAACTCATAGAAAAATTAACTAAGTTAACATGGTTCAGGCTTATTTCTACATCCCATCTTTTAGTTCCCTTTTTCAGAGATGCTGAAGCACATGCATATAAAGTTCACAGAAACAAGGCCACCCCTTAAAAATCCTGATGCTTTGTAAGCTTATTCTGCTATTTTCAGGCTCCCCTTCTTGGGAAGTTTTGTTTCATTTTTACTCTGTGCGCCCAGGTAGTTTCACTGCAACAGTTGTAACCTATTTACAAATCAGTACAAAAATGTTCCTTCAGGTTCGTTCATCATTTAAAACACACATCATAGATGATTAATTACTTCTTCCAGTTTTAAATGAATGCTGCTGTTTAAACAGAATTTTAACAGGCAGTTGAAGGGAGGAGGGAAAACATGCAGGCTGCTTCCAGAGCCTTTCCTTTATTTCAATAATGCAGATCAATAGTCTAGTGGTGTCCATCCAGCATGCGGTACTTCAGGCTCCAAGATGTGGTCACTGAACAGGACTTAAAGCCTGCATTTGTCTACAAGCTGAATGCATGTTCCCCGAGACATGCTGTGACATGCCTCTGCTTCAGCATTTGAAGCAGCACTATCACGATGGGAAATACACAGGAGGTGTCACTAAAGCAACTCCCACTACTTCTCCAGGAGCCCCTCCAAGCAGCCGTTTTCTTTGCCCTGTTGCAGTCACTCACCTGTTTCCCTGCTGGCTACTTGCTACAATGATGGAAAGAATAAGAGCAACTCTGGCTGCCCTGGTACTACCTTGCAAGCTTTAGGAAACCAACTGAGATTGAAAAATAAGAGCTCATCTGCCCAAGTTGAGGGATGGTCTAGAGCAGTGGCTCTCAACCTTTTTTGTATCAGGACCCATTTGTAAATATCAGTGGCCAGTCCTGACCCACTGCCCCCAGCCTCCAAGTATGTGGGGCAGGGGAGCCCCTGAAGCTCTGATAGCTTGCAAGGGAAAAGTCACTGTTTCCCATGTTTCTCTCCTCTAAAGGAAAATCATTTTTTAGAGTTTGTTTGTGACCCTTTCATATATTCTTGTGACCCGCTTCTGGGCTGCAACCCACAGGTTGAGAAACGTTGGTTTAGAGGACTGGCTAACAGAGGGACCCCTCAGAACAAACTACCACCCAAGACAGAGAGGAAAAGCTGAGATGCAACAACCAGTAACAGTTCCCTGAGATTCCCTGCTCCATCCAAGGTTAGGAGCTGCTGTAAATTATGCTGGATGGTAATTGCCTCCTAAAAGCTGTTATCAGGTTAGCTGTGACACAGTGTTCTAACTATACTCCTGCTACCTCAGGTGCTAGTGGCTGCAAAGAGGATGCCATAGGGGCTACCAGATTTCCCACACAGGAAGGGAGGGAAATATTAACAGTACAGGAAAAGTGCTCAGATATCCTTTGCTTGATGCATGTGATTCTTTGTGATTGTCACATGCTAGAACCTAACCACAGGTGTAATAAATCTCATAACATGCAACCAGCTTA